CCCCCCCCATCACCAAAATCTGTGTTTACTTGACTGCCCCTTAACTACCAATGGGAACCATGGCGGCTGAAGTTCTGCTTCCTTCATGTCCCTGCATCTGGCCTTCTGATTGGACAATGAAGGAGCAGTATACGGATGAGATTATCTCCCATGCTCTCGGCCAGCATGCTCAGTGCAGCCTGCAACGCATCTGATTCCTGATTGGCTCAGTGTTGCCCCTCCCCCCTCTGCCGCTTTTGCATGAGATGGCAGGAATCCGGATCCGGGTATTTATATTAGCTGGATTTATGATTGTCCGGTTCTGGTTTTTGCATTGTATGAATACATCAATATATTGAGGGAGGTTGGCTTTGTGACGGCGCTGTGCTCTGACACCGCATGTGTACTTTGCAGGTTGAAGGACTATCCTCAGTACTGTCAGCACTTGGCTTCCATCAGTCACTTTATCCAGTTCCCTCATCACCTGCAGGAGGTAAGTCTTCTTCTTCTCTCCTTCAGACGCTCGGTTCTCCATCCTTGCCCGGTCTGACCATCGCCTGCTTGTCTCCCTCTCCAGTATATAGAGTACGGTCAGCAGTCCCGGGACCCTCCGGTCAAGATGCAGGGGTCTATTACCACACCAGGCAGTATTGCACTTTCACAGGCCCAGGCTCAAGCCCAGGTCCCCGCCAAAGCTCCCCTCCCCGGCCCGGTAATCGCCAATGCCGTTACCACATCTACCGCCACAACCTCAGCCAAAACCGTTACCATTACCAGGCCCACCGGCGTCAGCTTCAAGAAGGATGTACCGGTGAGACTTCTGTTTGTGGTGGTGTCTATGTCTTCTCTATGCTGGGAACATTGATGACCCCCCCCCTTACATCTCATACGTGTTCTCCTTTTTCAGCCATCCATCAACACTACCAACATAGACACGCTTCTAGTGGCCACTGACCAGAACGAGAGGACTGTGGAGCCGCCGGAAAATGTGCAAGAGAAGATCGCCTTCATATTTAATAACCTGTCGCAGTCCAACATGACACAGAAGGTAAGACCATGATGGCACCAGGGACCCCTTATGTAATGAGGGAGAAGGGGGACTCTTCCCGTGTGGTTGGGCGAAGGGGACTCTTCCCGTGTGGTTGGGCGAAGGGGGGACTCTTCCCGTGTGGTTGGGCGAAGGGGACTCTTCCCGTGTGGTTGGGCAAAGGGGGGACTCTTCCCGTGTGGTTGGGCAAAGGGGGGACTCTTCCCGTGCGGTTGGGCAAAGGGGGGACTCTTCCCGTGCGGTTGGGCAAAGGGGGGACTCTTCCCGTGCGGTTGGGCAAAGGGGGGACTCTTCCCGTGCGGTTGGGCAAAGGGGGGACTCTTCCCGTGCGGTTGGGCAAAGGGGGGACTCTTCCCGTGCGGTTGGGCAAAGGGGGGACTCTTCCCGTGCGGTTGGGCAAAGGGGGGACTCTTCCCGTGCGGTTGGGCAAAGGGGGGACTCTTCCCGTGCGGTTGGGCAAAGGGGGGACTCTTCCCGTGCGGTTGGGCAAAGGGGGGACTCTTCCCGTGCGGTTGGGCAAAGGGGGGACTCTTCCCGTGCGGTTGGGCAAAGGGGGGACTCTTCCCGTGCGGTTGGGCAAAGGGGGGACTCTTCCCGTGCGGTTGGGCAAAGGGGGGACTCTTCCCGTGCGGTTGGGCAAAGGGGGGACTCTTCCCGTGCGGTTGGGCAAAGGGGGGACTCTTCCCGTGCGGTTGGGCAAAGGGGGGACTCTTCCCGTGCGGTTGGGCAAAGGGGGGACTCTTCCCGTGCGGTTGGGCAAAGGGGGGACTCTTCCCGTGCGGTTGGGCAAAGGGGGGACTCTTCCCGTGCGGTTGGGCAAAGGGGGGACTCTTCCCGTGTGGTTGGGCAAAAGGGGGGACTCCTCTTCCACCTTATTCCCTGCTGTGTACTCCGCTTGCTGTTTTTGGGGATTTTGTAAAAAAAGTATTTTTTATGGTTGTTTAGCGGTCGCGGCAAGTAATCCGCTAGTTGTAAAAGAAGGAACATGATCGGCCCCTATGGGTGGAGATCGGCCCCTTGCTGTAAGTTCCAGTTTGAGGGAACCGGTTTCGATGTCAGTCTGCTCGCAGTATAGACTCAGCCAGTCTGATGGTTTGGACCCTTCAGGGGTCTCTAGAGGTTTTCATGTCTCTGTAGTTTTGGGATTATTCGTGTTGCTGTATGTTGATCAGACGCGGCTAATCCATCGGCATTTATATCCTGACAGGTGGAAGAGCTGAAGGAGACGGTGAAAGATGAATTCATGCCTTGGGTGTCTCAGTACCTGGTGATGAAGAGGGTGAGCATTGAGCTGAACTTTCACAGTCTGTATTCCAACTTCATGGACGCTCTGAAGAATGCCGAGTTCAACAAGATGGTTCTAGCCGAGACCTACAGGAACATCAAGGTGTGTATCTCTCCAAGGCTCACTATTCGGCATCGTACACTTGTGGGCTCGTTAGTAATGTCTGCCCCGTCCCCTGACAGGTCTTGCTGACGTCTGACAAGGCTGCTGCTAACTTCTCTGACCGCTCTCTGCTGAAGAACCTGGGTCACTGGCTGGGCATGATCACCCTGGCCAAGAACAAACCCATCTTGCACACGGTAAGGACCCGCTGGAGTTTCTACAGTGGCTGGTGCTTGATGCGCATTCGCTGGGTTGATACTGGGGGTGCACCATGTGGTTGGGTTGGTGCTGGGGTGCACTGGTTGGTTTGGTGCTGGGGTTCCCTGACTGGGGGTGCACCATCTAGTGGGGTTGGTGCTGGGGTGTACTGTCCGGTTGGGTCGGTGCTGGGTTGCCCTGTCTGGGGGTGCACCATCTGGTGGGGTTGGTGCTGGGGTACACTGGTTGGGTCGGTGCTGAGGCTCCCTGATTGGTTGGGAGTGCACCATCTGGTGGGGTTGGTGCTGTGGAGCACTGTCCGGTTGGGTCAGTGCTGGGGTGCCCTGTCTGGTGGGGTTGGTGCTGGGGTGCCCTGTCTGGTGGGGTTGGTGCTGGGGTGCCCTGTCTGGTGGGGTTGGTGCTGGGGTGCACCGTCTGGTGGGGTTGGTGCTGGGGTGCACCGTCTGGTGGGGTTGGTGCTGGGGTGCACCGTCTGGGGGTGCACCGTCTGGTGGGGTTGGTGGTGTGTTGGCACGGGGGGTACTGTATATGTCGAGGCCATTAATCTTGCCAGCTGCGTTGAGCCTGTACTGCGTTGCCTTTCCAGGACCTGGATGTGAAGTCGCTGCTGCTGGAGGCCTATATGAAGGGACAGCAGGAGATGCTCTATGTGGTGCCTTTTGTTGCTAAAGTCCTGGAGTCCAGTGTCAGGAGCGTGGTATGTATCGGTCTCCTCCGGAGTGCGCCAACCATACCGGCCTCTTGCTGGTTACTGACCTCTAGTCTTCTGCGCAGGTATTTCGACCTCCAAACCCGTGGACAATGGCGCTTATGAATGTCCTGGCGGAGCTGCACCAAGAGCACGATCTGAAGGTCAGTTCTGTATTATTATTACTGCAGTGTGCTCCGTCTGCTCCTCCTCTCCCCGCTGCTCCTCCCTGCAATCCGCTGCTCCTCCCTGCAATCCGCTGACTCTCCTCTCCATCCCCCTCCTCTCCCCGCTGCTCCTCCCTGCAATCCGCTGACTCTCCTCTCCCATCCCCCTCCTCTCCCCTCTGCTCCTGCGATCCCC